TGTTATCATTCTTAACTACCGTCATGCCACCCTTTTTAGGTACACATTGAACTGGGCTAACCCAGCTACTGTCCGAGATTGGGAAAATGATTCCCGCATCCAACCACTTGATTACTTTTTTCTTCACCACTTCCTTCATATTGGGGTTCAGCCTTCTTTGGTGTTCCCTGGAAGGTTTATGCTCCTCTTCCAGTAGAATTTTGTGCATACAGTAGGCGGGGCTGATCCCTTTTATTTCTGCCATGGTTCACCCAATGGCAGTCTTACATTCCTTAAGTACCTGCAATAGTTGTTGTGCCTGCACATCTAACAAACTAGATGAGATAATAACAAGTAATGTAGAGTCGGGTCCAAGGAACTCATACCTGAGATGGACGGGCAGTGTCTTTAACTCCAGCTTTAGTGGTTCTTCGATGGATGGCTTGGCTGGAGGAGTTTCTCGATTTTCCAAGTGCAAGGGCTCAAATTCTAGAGTTCTATCCCAGAACCCTCTACCCTCTAATGCCAACACCCATTCCGCCAGATCATCTCTATTTACCTCATCCAAATTCATCAAACATGCAGCAAGGGGGTCCTCAATATTCAGCATCGCATCATCAGTCTCTACTATTACATCCACGGCATCAATAAGAGAGCAATTGACGAATTCACTTGGTCGCCTCATAGATTTCTGCACGTTGAATGTTATTTCTTCGTCGTTCAGTCTCATCTTGAGCTCCCCAGTCTCACAATCAATGAGAGCTCTCCCTGTTGCCAAGAATGGTCTACCCAAAATTATGGGAATCTCTTCATCCACTTTGCAGTCTAGGATCACAAAATCTGCAGGGAACACAAATTTCCCTACCTGAATCAACACATCATCCAAGATGCCCGAGGGTCATTTCACAGTTTTGTCAGCCAGCTGCAACAACATAGAGTTGGGTCTAGCTCTTCCAATGCCCAGCCTCTTATAAATCACCAAGGGCATAAGATTGATGCTGGCCCCTAGATCACACAGTGCCTTAGCAAAAGCAAAATTACCTATAGTGCATGGAAATATGAAGCTCCCTGGGTCAGACAGCTTTTCAGCAATTGGTCGAGTCACCACCGCACTACAGGTCTGAGTAAGAGTAACTGTGGCCAAGTCTTGGAAATCAAACTTTCTGGACATCAGGTCCTTCATCATTTTTACATACCCAGGCATCTCTTTCAAAGCTTCAATCAATGGTATGTTTACCTGGATTTGTTTCAGCATCTCAAAGAACTTCTTGTATTGCTCCTCCTTTTGGTACTTAGCTAGCCTCTGAGGGAAGGGTGCAGGAGGTTTCTTCTTCCCAATCATTTGGGATTGATCTTTATCAGCTGCCACATCAACTACTGACTCCTGGGCTGTCTCAGCTTCTCTCTCGGTCTCAATCTGAGTGTTATTTCCTTCCTGGGCAGGCTGGACTATCACCTCTGTCAGTTTCGTTGACTCATCTAGCTCATTGGGCACTGGTATGAGTGTCTCAGCCTGTCTAGTTTCTCGAGCCCTCTCCTGCTCGACATCCAAATCTCTGCCATTACGTATACTCACCGCCACCAACTGCTTCGGGCCTTGATCTTTTGGATTTATCTATGTGTCTGCCGATAGTGTCCCATGAGGAAGATTGTTCAGAGACATCGAAATTTGGCCCACCTGCACTTCAATATTCTTGATTGCTGCATCATGTGCATCTACTCTCTCATTAATTTTAGCATTAGACCCAATAACTTGCTGCATCATTGCTTCAAGTCTAGCAAACCCATCTTCTTGCCTTCCACCATGCTGCTGCTGAGGAGGGTGATACCCCTGCTGCTGATTCTGATTATTATATCCCTGTGGCCTTGGGTAAGGAGCCATATTTTTTGGGGGTCGCATACCTCCCATATTCCCAGTGTTGAACTGTGGCTGGGCTGGCCTATACTGCTGATTCTGCTGGCTCCAATTCTGACCACCCTGTCTCTGGCCTCCATAATTAGACACAAAGTTCATGTCTTCAGGATAGTGATGATGATCATGTTCTACATTCCACTGGTTACCAATTGGCTGATTGATGCAAGATGTGCATAGACCCCATTGGTAATAACCACGATGTGTACCTGTTGCTTCTGCCCTGACTCTTCCACCTTTTTGGTGAGTATACTCATCTGTGTCAATAAGGTGGCCATATTTTCAGCCATAGAGTTAGATGGATCTAAAGGCACTGAGTGAGCCACTGGGGTGATAGTTGCATTCCTGGTTATCCATCCCGAATTATGTGCCATCTTGTCAAGCAGACTCTGGCCTTCTCTTCATGTTTTGCTCAAAAATGCTCCACCAGCTGAAGCATCAACTATGTTCTTCACACTATATGACAATCCCATGTAAAACCGCTGTCCCAACATCAGATCTGGGACACCATGGTGTGGACATACAACCAGCATCCCCTTAAAGCGTTCCCGTGTTTCATGCAGTGTCTCCATTGGTCTCTGATTAAAACTCAAAATTTCAGTAATTTGTTGAGCAGTCTTGTTGGGTGGGTTGAACTTGTTATGGAATTGTTTGACTAACTCCTCCCAAGTTGTTATGGAATTTATGGGGAGTGAGTTTAGCCAGGTTTGGGCAGCTCCTGTTACTGAGAATGGGAACAACAACATCTTGATTGTTTCCTGAGTTATGTTGGGTTGCCTTTGGGTTTTGCATATTGACAGGAAATTCTTCAAGTGCTGCTGAGGATCTTCGACTTGTGACCCCGAAAATAGTCCCTTGTTTTGCAACAAGTGCAGCATGTTATTCGTGATTTGGAATGATTCAGCCTGTATCTGCGGAACTACAATCGTTGTGGCCAGATTTTCAGCTGTGGGTTATGCCCAGTCATAGAGAGCAGCCTCTGGCACAGGAGGTGCCGATGGATTGTTTTCGTGATCTCCCATGTTCGGTTCGGATTATTCAATTGTTTGTTGTTGTTTACTTTTTCGATTGGCCCGGTTCAAGGCCTTAAAAACTTTTTCGGGGTCTGATAGAGCTTCGAATACTTCACCAGTTCTCGTTGAGTTTTTAGGCATGCACCTGTGCAACCAAGTCAGCAAGCGTTAAAATTTCAATGTATAGATTGGGTATAGAGAAAACTGACTACACTAAAAAAATTTGTATTTCTTTCAATTGTAATTGATAACACCGTTAATTCCCCGGCAACGGCGCCAAAATTTGATCACGCCCAACTATGCCTTATAAAAGGACACGCGAACGTTGCAAATATAATCTGAGTATTTATGCCCAGAGTCGAACCCACAGGGAATTAACCTATCAATTACTTTCGTTGGACTTACTAAATTCTACGGAATCAACTTCCCTAAACGTTGTGAATAACAGTTGATGGTATTACTAATAACTAAGACTGAAAGTAAATAAACAGCTGAAAACTAACTATGCTTGAGTTGTAAACAATTATGAGAAGGTTCTAAGGCTATGATTTCCCCTATTGATGGAATCCCTTCCGGTTATGTTTCATATAGATTCACCAAGATATCTCTATCAATCATGAGCACTCTTTTTACCGTAAATCTCTCCCGAGTAATCACGATAATTTACTAGACGCACTCTCCCGAGATACGCTAGCTGGCTTTGTTTATTACAGCTCACTTTAGATGGCACCCAAGGCTTCGTTATCCCTAATCCCGCCTTTAAACCCGTAGTTATAGATCCCTCTTATACTTTGGGAGTGGTGATGTTCAACAGCTACCTAAATATGCACTCTCTCCCGAGTTATGCACACTAAATAGGCACAGCTAATTGAGGATCCTGTCAATTAACTACAACAAACACGTAGTTGAACAAATAGAGGTTAAACTGGAAAACTATATTAACATAATCACGAAGTTCATCCTTCAATAGGTTCCATCAAAACCCTAGACAAAGGAATTAGCTACTCATGACAAAACGAGAATAAACTACTAAATTATTCATAACAGGTAATTGCAAGAAAATAAAAGAGATAGAAAAACTCTAATGTTTGGTTGATCTTCTCACACTTGTTCTTGCCTCCAAAAGTAGTCTAAAACAAGCTTAGCCCCATCTTGGGCGAGTTTCTAAAGCTTATAAGGGTTTTACAAAAGTTTCCCCGAAATTACACTTTGGTCCTCTAACTTCCATCTGCGTGAACAGTGCACCGCAGTCGCGGCGTGGACCGCGGTGATAGCTGACCTTACTGCCTCACATTCTAATCCGCCGCGGTCCACCGCGATCGCGGTGGAATTCTTGCCCAGGCCATTTTTTTGCTCCTTTGTGCTCGGGTACTTCTCGAGTGGGTGTTTCCTTCACATTATCGCCTCCAAAATACTCTGTGTTGCTTCCTCACATATAATCTTCCCTGCAAAACAAAAGAACACTATTTAGAGCATTTTGTTGGCACTTTACCTATAAAACAACAACAAAGCATGGTCATATTAAGGTGTAAATATCAACTATATAGCCTTACTATCAAATATTATTAGTATTATTGATATAGTAGAACATAGAGTGCAAGAGAAATACACAAGCAAGATTATAAATAAAATAGCCCCTAAGTGGAAACGGTGTACAAACTATGAAACTGGAGGAAGAGCTAGGATATGGATTGTATGGGATCCAAATGTAATTACATTTACTATGATAAGTTTCAAGCCTCAGTACATTCATGGGGAGGTTCTCTTATTGGCTAGCAGGCAGGAATTCACTTTCACAGCTATATATGGACTTCACACAGTATATGCAAGGAAGAGCTTATGGGTTGATTTGCTAAGTTGGAGTCACTCTCAATAGAGGCCTTGGCTCTGTATGGGTGATTTTAATAAAATATTATCAGCAAATGATAGAAGTAATAGGAATCCAATACAAGAATGGGAAGTCAGAGAATTTAAAGAGTTTCTGATGAATGCAGGGATGACTGAAATGAGAACTGCGGGGAGGAACTTTACATGGACAAATTCTCATGTATTTAGCAGAATAGATAGGGGTAGTTAATACTGAATGGATAACTAATATGCCGCAATTGGATGCTATGAATATGGATCCCTATTTCTCAGATCACTCCCCTCTATGTGTCAAATTTGGAGATGAGCCACAGAACTCTAGGCCTTTCAGGTTCTTTAATCACCTGGCAGAGCATAGAGATTTTTTTACAAATAGTTGCAAGGGTCTAGACAAGAAAGGAAATAGCACAAATGCTTGGAATTTGGAGGAAATTGAAAGAAGTAAAGGGAGAGTTAAAGAAACTGAATACAACTCAGTTTGCAGCAGTTGATACAAAGGGAAAACATGCCAGACACCAGTTAAAGGAGATACAAGAGAAAATGAGAACAAACTACCTGCAAACAAAGTTGTTTGAAGAGGAGAAGGAAATGAAGAAACAACTGGAGAAATGGGTTAATATTGAAGAAAGTATCTTTAAACAAAAATTCAGAAATCAATGGTTAAAACTGGGAGACTCAAATTGTGCTTTCTTCTTTGCCAGTATGAAGAGTAGAGTTAGTCAAAACAAGATTAGGAGTTTGATGACAGCTACAGGAGAAATAGTACAAACTATGAATGAAATTAAAAGGGAAATAGTAGGATTTTACAAGGGACTACTGGATCATCTACAACAGCCATGCTAGCCATTCAATCGAGTGTTATGAAAGAAGGGAAGGTACTTAATAGATGTCAACAACTGAAACTCATTGAGCTTGTAAGAGAACAGGAAGTGTACAATGCTTTGAAGAGCATAGATGATTTAAAAGCACCAGGATGTGATGGATTCAACTCACTGTTCTTCAAAAAACATGGGATATCACTGGCCAGGAGATCACAAAAGCAGTCTTATAATTCTTTACCACAGGGGAAATATATCAACCTATTAATGTAACTACAGTCACTTTGATACCTAAGGTGCAACACCCCTCAACCATCAGAGAATTCAGACCTATATTTTGTTGTACAGTGCTCTACAAAATTATCTTTAAGATTCTAACAAATAGGTTGCAAGAGGTAATGGACCATGTAGTTGATAATAGCCAGTCAGGTTTCGTGCCAGGAAGGTAATTGCAGACAATATAATTCTGAGTCATGAATAGGTAAAAGGATATGGAAGGAAAGGTATCTCACCTAGATGCATGATGAAGTTAGATTTGCAGAAAACGTATGACTCCATTGAATGGGTGTTCCTTGAACAAGTGTTAACAACTTTGAACATACCTGTGAAGTTTGTTAAATGGGTGATGATGTGTGTGAGTACTGTATCCTATTCAATTCCTATAAATGGGAAGCCTGCTGAACCATTCCAATCTAGGAAAGGGCTAAGACAAGGTGACCCACTGTCACTCTATTTGTTTGTGCTTGGTATGTAATACCTCACTAGAAATCTGAAGCAATTGAGGAATGATCCTAACTTTAATTTCCACCCTAGATGTGACAAACTGAACATCATTCAGATCGGTTTTGCAGATGATTTATTACTATTCTGTAGGGGAGACACTATGTCTATGCAAATGGGGTATAAAATGTTTCAAAGAATTCTCTAGAGCATCTGGACTTAAAGCAAATGTTGCTAAGAGTTCCATATATTTTGGAAGTGTTCCACACGAAGTTCAACTAGAGATCCTACAAGCTGTGGGATTTTTTAAAAGAGAATTACCTTTCAAGTACCTGGGTATACCACTTAGCACCAAGAGGATATCAATGACTCAATGCCAACCCTTGGTGGATAAAATTCTAGGTAGAATAACCTCCTGGACATCAAGATATCTATCCAATGCTGGAAGGTTGCAACTAATCAAAACTGTGTTGTTCTCCATTCAAATATACTGGTCTCAGATTTTTGTACTACCTAAAAAGTTGATAAAGAAGATAGAAGTTGTGTGCAGAACCTTCCTATGGACAGGGGGAGTGGAAACATCAAGAAAGGCTCTTCTAGCATGGGAGAAAGTGTGTATGCCAAAAACTGATGGAGGTTGTAATGTGCTTGAAATTTCCACGTGGAATAAGGCTGCAATATGTAAATTGTTATGGAATCTCTGCAAGAAGAAAGACAAGCTTTGGGTGCAATGGATACATATGTACTATGGGAAGAGACAAGCAGTATGGAAAACTAATCCTAGGAATGCATCTTGGATAGTCCAAAAGATTATCAAAGCTAAAAAGTACTTTTAAGAAATGGGATACACTATGCATGAAGTGACTGGATGGAGTTTCTTATCTGTTAAAAAGTTATACAATACCATGAGAGGAGAATTTCAGAAAGTGACTTGGAGTAGACTGACTTGCAACAATGCAGGAGCTCCAAAATGGATATTTGTGTTAAACTTGGCTATACAGAGAAGGTTGCTCATAAGAAACAGATTGAACACCTGGGGGATAACTGATACTCTGAACTGTCCTATGTGCAATGACGAAAATGAGACCATGGATCATCTGTTTTTTAGGTGTGTGGTATCTAAAGAAATCTGGGAGAAGGTTCTGAAATGGCAAGGCATTCTGAGAACTGCTCTAGATTGGCAAAGGGAAATTGAATGGACAGAAGGCAATGCAAAGGGCAGAAATGCAGATGCGCAATTGTATAGAGTAACTCGCCTGTGTTGTATATCATATATGGAGGGGAAGGAATATCCGAGTCTTTCAAGGGCAACAACAACCGAATGAAGTGCTAATTAGACTCATTATTCAAGAGGTGACAAGTAGAGTGCCGATGCAGAATAGACTAGTTAAGAAGCTTGAAGCACTAAATTTTTATCCGTAGAAGTATATAGAGGATGAGTAGCTAGAAAAGGGCAATTGGAACTCAACTGAAACTACATCAAAAGGCCTGAATCCCGTCATTAATTGCCACGCAATTAAGAAGATGAAGAGATTCGAGCAAAAAATTGGAAGAGCATTTCTTTGTGAAAAGAGATGAAAGAGCCGATGTTTCTAGAGCTACCGTCGAATATGGAGTGAGCAAGCAGTGGACACATAAAATATTTATATTTATCCATCTTACCAATTTAACCTTGCATATTAATATAATTACAATTATGCCATTGATCGACCAGACTTGGCTTTTCTATATAATAGAAAAATGTATTCATAAAGTTTCGGTAGTGTTACAAAAAGGCAATAGAAATTAGTAAAGTTGGCAAAGAAAACTCCAAATTCACGTCGTGGTCAAAGATTAATAATGAAAAACTGCAACAACTGGAGTAAACTGAGAAAATATGATGAACAGCTAGCTTGCTCATGGAAATAAGCACATAACAGTGACAAATCAAAAGCACACAAAATACCTTCTGAAAAGGAAAGTGACACACAATAAGAGCATGCCTTAATTATTAAGTTATGTTTGCTTTCAAAATATCCCACTATTAATTTTTATTTTTATTTGTGTTCGAAAGTACTCACTAGACACTACCGGTGCCCTTTTCTGCAATATCTCATTTATTATTCGGTATTCGCAGCGGGGCTTAATTAATTCGAAATTCATGCTGAAAAGTCTCATATTAAGTAGTAAAATACTACTACTATCTAATAAAGACAAATTCACACCTAAGACTAAACTTTTAATTAAAGGTAAAGAATATTTACCACTTTGCTAAGAGCCCGTTTGGACATAAGAAATTTTTTACTTTTTTCCAAAAGAAATTTATTTTTTTAGAAATCAGCGTTTGGTCATAAAATTTCTAAGTTTTACTTGAAGATACATTTTGGAATTTTTCAAAAATTTGAAAAATTCTAAAAGCTATTTTCAAAAAGATCACTCACAAAACTTCAAAAACAACCCAAAATTATACTCATGTCCAAACACAACTCTAATTTTCTTATACCACTTTTTTCATTTTTTTTTGAAGTTTTACAATTCTTATGTCCAAACGCCCACTAAGTCATTTTCAGAAGAAGTCAGTGCTGCCCAATTCTGAGGGTCATCATCTTTCAGGTCAGTGTTACTGGTCCATTAAGCAATTATTACGCTTCACTCTCAAAAGTTCTCAAAAATTAAATTCAGCCCAACAACTTTTACTTTCTCCAATTTGCGGTCCCCCTTTATTTGGTGACTTTGGTTATAACTTTTTGTGTTGACGGTGATTTTACAAACAAACAACAAAATAATATAACGTAGATATTATTAAAATACCAAATAACGTCTTCCAAGTTTCATTCAGGTCGACCAAAGCATCTTCTCATAATCGACATAGTGAAACAAATTATTAAGGTATTTTGGGTTTTAACTAGTTCAAGCATCTCAATAATTAATATTTAATTGTGTTTAAATCAGTTTAATTAAATGATATTCTTTTCTTACACTTGCTGCTCTCCTATGGTCCACTCTTACGAAATTGTGAGTATTACTTTTCACACTTTTCATTCACATTTCATTCATGAAATGACACACACATCAGCTTCAGACCCGAAGTTTTTTCTACATCTATGGAAAAGTTGAAAAGAAAGAAAAAGTGGACGCGGTCAAATTTGTGAACGAAATCTTTCCTTGTCATTTCTTTTCATTTCAACAGTAAAAAACCCAAAAAAGAGCACCCAAATACTTGGGCAAACGCCAAAAAAAGATCCATCACTATTTTTCACTTTTCAGAGAACAACACATTTTCACTCTTAGATTAAACAAGCATGTACTTTTCATTTAATTACCAAAAACTTAATTTTGTTTTTGTTCAAAGAAAATTAAGAAAACTTCTTATAATCTTTTAATATTCACCTTCCCTCAACCCCCACACCCCACGGTGAATAGAATGGGACATGCAATTAATTTCATGTGTGATATTTTTATCATATTCTTACACCAATATAAATATATTTGGTATGTAGTCAAACAAGAAAATATGGACTAAATTCAAACACCCTTACTTTCTCCAATAATTTCTCCTACCCTTCAACTTCTTCCTACATTGTAGACCAAAGACTAATGATGGTCTAAATTTAACTACATATTGTTAAATCCAGTTTTAATGATGCAAATAATATACATATGCAGGAAATCAATTACAAGGGATCAAGAACATACTACAAGACTGTTGGAGTCAATTCTGATGCCTAAGAAAAGAAATCAATCAACAAAAATTACAATACAATCAGCAAATCTGGATAACTAAGGAAAGAATCCAGTCAGCCAATCAATCAGCAAAGAGTAACGGCCAGCTGCGATGGAGAGAATCAAGCAAGCCTAAACTTAAGGCACGAATCAAGGCCAGCATCCCGAAAGATCGAAGATTCTATAAAAATTGGTACGCGACTAATTTTGGGAGAACCAATAATCAAGGAGCAAGTCTTCATTACATGCATCTGCTGAAGGAAGGAAATCAAGGGAAAGCAACGGCCAGCTATCTTATTCTTGGAAAGAATCAGTTTCTTTCCAAAGATCAAATCTCTTAGGTTGTCAAGCCTCGACCTTCGTCAAAGTATTTATACCCAGCCTTAAACCCTAGTCAGACATACTTTGATCGAACCAAAAACCATTCTCTTTATTCTACTGCAAACAAACATTGTAGTTTACTAAGATCTGTTATGTAACAAGTCAGAGAAAAAAGGAGAGTATAACACTGGTGAGGCATTGTATCAAAAGAAACGAGTGCTAGAGAAACATTGTTGTCAATTTACTTCAACTGTACTCGGAGAAACACATTTACTAAAAGAGAACTCCCTTGCAACCCAAGGGGACTGGACTAGGATTCACATTGAATCCGAACCAGTATAAAATCCTGATGTCTTTAATTCCTGCATTTACCTTCTGCAATTTACTTTCTGTCATTATAACTGTTAAGTTATTATATCTAGTCGACTACTCGATTAATTAGTCGACTAATAAGCGATTAAGTTTAAATATTTACAATTCAACCCCCTTGTACTTTCACATATATACCTGGACTCCTAACAATGAACAACAAAATAGATTTTAACCTATATTGCTCGGACTCTCCAAAAATGTGACCGGCCGGATACGTGTCAGATCCTCCAAAAGTAGTGCATTTTTTAAAGATCCGACACGAGTGCGGTTACATTTTGAAAATTCATGCAACATAAATTTTAGCTATCAAAGAAGTTTGATCTATTATCACTAATTACCCATTATATTTACAAGAATGTTACGAAACTTAGCTCAAAGTAATAACATAAAACAAGAAGATAGACAACAACGTAGAGAGAAAGAGAGGAGAGAATCTTATTTCTTCATGTATTCAAGTGTATACAATGTGATGCCCAAACCCTCTATTTATAGGATGATATAGGTAATACAAAGGGACTCCATAAATATGGTATTAACTATTGAGAACATGGGGGAAGATCATGGAGGTGTGGGAGTTACATCCATAATGGTAAGAAGTAGTGGGGTTATCTACATAATGGAGAAGAGTAGTGGGAGTTATATTTGATTAGTGGACATCCATATAAATATGTATTTCATAACACTCCCCCTTGGATGTCCATAGATAATATGCCTTGTTAAAACCTTACTAAGGAAAAACCATGGAGGAAAAAATCTTAGTGAAGGAAAAAGAGTACACATATCTTGTAATACGCATTACTTGTTGCCTCATTAAAAACCTTGCCAGGAAAACCCAGTGGGATAAAACCTTAGCTAAGGGAAAAAGAGTACAGCGCGTATTTGTCTCCCCCTAATGAAAATATCACTTTATTTCTCGGAGACGCCGAATTCCAAGCTTGTATAACAACTTCTCTAATATTGAGATCGGCAATGCCTTCGTGAATTATTCCGCCAAAATATCACTTGAAGGAATTTCTTGAACATTTATTTCATCATTCTGTTGAAGATCGTGTCTGACAAAGAACTTTGATGAAATATATGATTTATTCAGTCTCCTTCAATATTCTTCTTTCAATTGAGATAAGCAAACATCAGCTTCTTCATTATTATTGGAATCTTCTCTTCAAAGAAAAGTCACACATCTTGTAAAATGACAATATGACAATTCCTCACATACAAATAGATTGTTTGAAGAACGGACTTCAATAAATTCCTGCATTTGCATAAACAACAAAACTTTGACAATATTTGTTAGAATAAATAAATCTATATCAAGGATTCTTTTTGCAATATAATACTAATTATATTTCAATATCTCCATATAGCCTTTATACTTTCAGTTGTTGGGACTTTTCGTCCAACTTCATATTTTTCAGATGAAGTCAATTTTCATTGCATATTTTTTATTTGGCCAATCATTTATCTGTCCAAATTCCATAACAGATTTGAGCTCAAGATCCTCGTCAATATTAATAATATTGAGCGCTACATTATATTAACAACATCGTCGACAATCATTTTACATCGGTTCCATCATCGCATAATAAAGACATAACTTATCGAGATCTCATTATTTTCAGGTACCTGAACCTCTCCCATGAGGTCTTATAAAATGTTATGTCATGGTGCTCTTATAAAGCACTTGCCTCCTTATTATGACCATCTTGAACATTTGCTCCTCTCCTTCTTCAAGGAATTTTATCTTTGGAACCGATTAGTCTATTACTTTATTCTATTTAGGTGCATTAACAGCTGAAATATGACATTTAGCCTTGGGTCAGCAAATGCTCCTGGCAATATTTTAGAAATGAATTATCACTTGAACTTCAAGTTCCACATAAGTTCACATTTTCTTGTACGAGGATCTAGATGTATTCATAATAATTCATTCCACGTATCACTGTTTCAGCTGCCCATTTTCTCCCCCTAATGTTAGGATCACCAACATATTTCTCAACCTTATTTGGGAACCCATCTTTGTGCATTGTGGTGTCACAATTAAATCATATAGCACATCTATATTTCAAGATGAAAATTATTTGGTTCCTGACCCTGAACCAATTGTGACGGGGAGAATTTATGATAACTTGGCTAGATACGTACAAGTGCTGCTCTATATTAAATAATACATCTCATACCAAATTTTCTTTTGGTAATTTTGTTCTCATAACCAATGGTTTAGCTATAATTGGAGGCATACAATCTCACCTAAACCAATTTGGATTTAAACCAGCATTATCAAGATAAAATCATATAATAGTAAACAGTCCATATGGCAGGTGATTGGGCCTATATATATATATATATATATATATATATCACCTTTTATTCGTTCCAGATCTTAAGGGATTCAATCCCAACCTTAACTGGTATATCATGAGAATAAGCAGCACAAGAGAATTCTTGAAGAATCTTCTATTTCTTCAATATATGCCAATGTGAATTCTCAATTAATTTTTGCATCATAATTGAACCGGGATGGCCAACCCGTTCATGCCAACTAATATTTGTTTCAGTAAACTTCTAGTTTACTTGTGGCATGTGATTCCATCATCATGCTTATACTTGTATAGTACAAATAAAAGAAAAATCGGGTAACCTTTTATATTTACCCGGTATGATTATAGTAATATGAAGATATTCAATTTTCCTTTCATTTATAGTCTCAATATGCCAACCAATTTGGCTAATATATTTGAAACTCAAAAATTCCGTTTGAGACTTACTACATTATCAATGTCATGAACAATTTCATTCATCCGGGTAGTAACAAATTAGCTCTTCCGGAGCTCTTAATTGATTTTGTACTACAAAATCTTTTGTCACACCATCCATATGGTGAATGTCTCCTTCACGGAGACAATCATATCATAATAATTGTCATGGTCAAAATCATCATAAGCAAAATCATTTCTTGCTTTACTTTTGCCTTTAATAACTTTTTATAAGGCATGTCAAATTATTTTTGGTGTACCACATGTACGCGACCAATGACATATTCATGTAATCACACACTAATATTCTTTATCTCTCTTTCTCTCAAACTTCCCTTAGAGGTGAGTTGTGGTGTGTATCCAATCATGCATTGCACGTCTTTATTCATTACTTTTATCACATATTGTTACATTCACCTTCAGGAATGGATCTGCATTCTCAATGCACAAGTCACATTCTCTTCAAAGAATGGAGTATAATTATCGCGACGTGCTTTATAAATTTTTCATACTAATTTTATGGTAAATATTTCCTTCATCTATTGAAGGATTACTTCGAGAACCCTTATTGTTCTCATTTTTACAATTACCATAATGATGACTATTATTATTTGATCAATGGCATGCCCATGTTCATTGGTCAACCACTTGTCTTCATTTACTTATTATATGCATTGCTACCGCATTCACTTCAAGAATGGTGCAAATCAAGTGGGACAAGATTCACGCTTTTCTATGAAAAATATATTATTTTTCTTTAGTCATCACTATGTCATCCATATGGTGCATTGGAACTCAAACCCAATGCCTGACCCATATAAAGACATGTTAGGCCATAATGAGTTGGGACTCGAACCCAACTTTTACAATCATGGATCATCAGGACTCAAAATCCGATGTCTTACCCTCACGGTGCGTTGGGACTTGAACCCACCGTCTTATCCTTAATTAATGGCATAATATGCCAAAGTAGACTCACCCTTGAGACTTTCATGGTATACTACTTTTAATAGTAATAAAAGTAAACTCATATATGTGTTACACAATAAGTATCTATTTACTGGTAACAAAGGAATCAAAGTTCTTCAAATCACTTTGCAAAAGCTGGCATAGCTCCTTAATTTATGTACATCTTTGATCTCTGGTTTAGTATGTAACATTTAGTTGCATCATTATATGCTTCTGATTCTCATATAATATCTAATCTGAACATTAGGTGAAAGTTATTAGACTAAACTTACAATAAATATTAAAAAGAAAAACATGGAGTAGTAATTAATTTACATCTAAGTATTTTTCAACTTTACAAAGTAATACTTAGTATTGGAAACTTTTCCGACAAATAAAGAACCTTTGAGAAAAACTAACAAGAAAATAAATTAATTAAAAAAAAATTAGAAAAGAAAACGTATCTTAGCATTATATGCCTTTTCACGATGTACTAGTCTCCTCAACCTTGATATTCCTTTTATTATATTTCATACCATTATTTAAAATTGCTAAATGGAAAAGAAAAACTCATTTCTTCCAGAGGAATATCAGGCACAACAGACATATGCTTTTTCTGATGTAAAACAATTTTATAGATGTAGTAACTCAATTGGATAGAGACTCGTGCTGATAACGTATAACGAAACTTAGCTCAAAGTAATACATAAAACAAGAAGATAGACAACAATGTAGAGAGAAAGAGAGGAGAGAATCTTATTTCTTCATGTATTCAAGTATATACAACGTGATGCCAAACCCTCTATTTATAGGATGATATAGGTAATACAAAGGGACTCCATAAACATGATATTAACTATTGAGAACATGGAGGAAGATCATGGAGGTGTGGGAATTACATCCATAATGCTAAAAAGTAGTGGAGTTATCTACATAATAGAGAAGAGTAGTGGGAGTTATATTTGATTAGTGGACATCCATATAAATGTGTATTTCATAACACTATTTATTTTTGAGATATTAATTCTAATCATCACCAAGGTTAATAAATCTAATTGTGAAAATTCTTTTACAGATAGATGCTACTTATTCTACATATTGAATAGATCCTCTCTTTTTTAGACTTTAAGGAGTCGGTTACTAAGATTACATTAAGAAAATGAAGAAGAGAATGGAAAAGCAACACAGCCAATAGTGAAAAGAGAACTTTCCTTGTTATTGCTTCTTATTCCACAGTGAAAAACCCAAGAGAAACCCCAAAAGGGGCACCAAAAAACTTGGGCCAAACCCACAAAAAAAAAAAAGTCATCACTCTTTTCCACCTTTTCAGAGAGCATTACTAGCCAAAACAAAGCCTCCTCTCCACTTTCAACATTTACTTTTCATAAACCAAAAAAATAAAATTAAAAAGGAAACTCTTCTGTATATATTCTTTCTTCTTCTTCTCCATCCCACTTTTTTTTTCTTCAAATATAGTATTTTCTTTACTATTTATAGATATTGTGGTGGATGAACATTCTAGAACTTTCTCAAAGAAGATCCATTTTAGTTTGGTCAAGCAGCAGCAAAAGTTCCAGGTCTGAAAGGGTAATCTTCTGAAGTTTTGTTGGGGGAAGTGGATTTGTTCTTCTCCTTTTCTCTCATGGCTTTAATGGAAGAAATGTTTAATTTTTTCTCTTTAGCTTCATCCATTTCTATCTGTTGTTGTCTGCACTCTTCACTACAGAATGGTGTGTCCCCTCTGCAATACACAAATCACATGCACAATCAAAACTCTGACACCCCATCACCTTTCATATATATAGCAATCAAATCCCAACAACCAATACTCTGCTGACTGATCTAAGAGTAATACATAGTACTATATCAATAATCTTGTAAAACATTCAATGCCCTGTGTCTTAAATAAAAATTAGATCTTGCATACTAGAATATGAAGAAAATAATTACATTTCAAGCAGCTCCTTTTTACCCAAATAAATATATAAAAGATCAAAGATTTCATCTTGATAGTGGAAAAGGAATAAACAGAACCAAAAAAGCAATTTCCTTTTTTTGGGGGGTACAAATAGAAGTAGCATGATTAGTTAGGATTCATATAGCTGACCAACTTGTTAGAGACTATAGCGTAATTATAGTAATTTTAGGAGTAGCATATATTGCTATAAATTTTCGAGTAAAAATGGGATCTTTAAAGCTAAAATAATATAAAACATGAATTTAAAGGAGCCCCATATACCAATATATAAAGAGAAAACAAAAATTTAGCATATATTACTGTAATTTCTTGAGAAAAAATCGGATCTTTAAAGCAAAGATAAAACAGAACATGAATTTAAAGGAACCCCATATTCCAATAAAGAGAGAAACAAATAATTTTTAGCATATATAACTATCATTTCTTGAGTAAAAATGGGATCTTCAACGCAAAAATAAAAGAAAACATGAATTTAAAGGAACCCATTTCCCAATATAAAAGAACAAACAAAATTTTGTATTAAAAGTTAGAAAGAATAGAAAACAAACCTGTACATGAAGATGTCACAGTTATCAGCAAGGCGTTTCTTACAAAGGAAACAAGCATCTAAGAAATATTGTTGTTGGGGTTCATCAAGTCTACCATCATAGTACTTTCCAGCAGCAGTAACAACAGATCTTGGAGAAGACATGGAAATAGAAGAAGAAGATGAAGAAGAAGAAAAAGAAGAGAGATTCCTTAAGCTGTTTCTTCTAGGGGTGGGCATTCGGTGCTTCGGTTCGGTATTTAATAATTTCGGTTCGGTAATTCGGTATTCGGTTTATCAATTGTGTATACCAAATACCATACCAAAATATTTCGGTACGGTTCGATTTTTCTTATTTTGGTTCGGTACGGTTTCGGTTTAATAATCGCTAAAATTTAGCTAACGCCTAAGTCCTAACAGTGCACTGTCCAGATGCATAATTGTTGCAGCAAGCCAGCAACGTTTGAAATTGAAACCAGCAACGTTTGAAGTTGCAGCACATGCATAATTTTCTATCCATACACAAATACAAATCTAACGCCACACAGAAAGTCAGAAACAATACATACTAAATACCAGATGCTATAGATTTATAGCATCTAAAATCTATAAGTCAGAAACAATAAAAAACAGTCAACAATGTTTGTACATACTTACTTAACTTTGAAATTGAAACAATACATACTTAACAGATGCAGCAGCAGTCTAAACTTTGAAATTGAAACACTACATACTAAACTCAAGTTAAGTTTGAAATTGAAAGTTGAAACAATACATTACATACTTAACAGATGCAAACAGTCAACA